GTGTTCATTTCCACACATAAGTCGCTCTGGAATATATGTCACACCCCCTGCCAAACTATGAAAAAAACTGCAACTTATAGTCTGGAAATACGGTACTCTTTGTTTTTTCTTTTACATAGAAAAGACTGCTGGACTAGTGCTTCTGTCTTTTTGAGTGTCTACTCTTTTCTTTCAACCCTTTGTCAGTCGCTCAGACTGTGCCTGGTTCTGCTGGAAGTTTCTTCCTGTGGAGTTGCTGCTTTTTGCTCCTGCTGCATGCTTGATTCTGAAAGTGGAATTGTTGGGAAAAACTCAATGCAATTGACTTTGCCTAGTTTGATTTCAAACTTTTGACCAGTTGGCAATATGAACTATATTTGACAGATTTTTTAAATTATAACTATGATCAAAACCAAACATCCACCTTCCCACCTAACTTTGAGAGGTTGTGGATTGACAGGTGTCTGTCTCCAGCAGTCATTGGGGCAGAGGCAGGGTTCACCCTGGACAGGTCACCAGTCCAGACCATACACTCTCTCACTCAGCGTTAAACTGATTGTGATGTCAGCTAAATTAACACCAACATTCAATTGTTGACATAGATATGTTTATCTTCTTTTAATAAAATCTTTCTAAAGGTTATGTTATTGGTGGATTGCTCTGGAATTAGAATTAGGATTAAATTGTCATCTTTTTCCATCTGTTTTCTTTGTTTGCATAAACTAGATAATGGCATGGGCGAATGCTCAAAAAACATGCCTGAATTATAAATTTATTCATGAGGAAGCAAAATGAGTCTATTTGTGATATGAAATTATTTAGGTATCTGCTGCTTTATCCGACTTTTATGTCTTTGACGTGAGACATGCATCATAACTCTACGCTAGAAAATGCCAGTCACGGCAAATCCAGACATAAACAATGTCTGAAAAGTATAATTCTGGAAATGATGAAATAAGTCTGTCAGTAATCGCAATCCCATCACTCCTGGTTCCTACTGCACACCCAGAAACACTTTTCTACAAAAGTTGCAGTCAGTACACTACAAAACACTGTTGCTATGAGTTGTGCTTTTTTATGAGCTCCTTTCACCTTGTGACAATACTATCAGCTCAATATCTTTTTATTGCTAGGGAGATTCAACCTCAATAAACAAAAATATTAAAATTTAAGTTCTTCAGGGACAAAGCAGGACTTAGTTATACACAATGCAATGTATAGTTTTATTTTGAAACTGCAAGTAGTAGTAAAACAGGTATTTTCTATGACTTAACTCATATCCATAATCAGGTAAAATAAAATACATTTGCATTAAGAGAACATGGTTCTTCAAGCTCTGATGATTTAAGAGCAATTTTTTTTTTAGCAAAATCTTTTATTCCAAAAAGAATATTTGCCCTTAAGTCAGATCATTATCCTTTAACATTGTTTGCAGAATAATATACAGTAAAGGTGATTGTATACAAAATAAATGTTCATAACATCCAATACGTTTTAGAGTGGTACATTTTGGATAAGATGATAAAATGATAAGCTCAAAGTTGAGGAGTTTTCTACTTTAGAACTTTATCTGAAAGGAAAGTGATGGGAAACTGGAGGGTTAGAGAACATTGTTCATATTTTATTGATTTCATGCAATAGCTGTTAAATGCAGTTATGAGTGAAAGTGCTGGGTAGACATTAAGTGCGGGCAAAAGATGCCAAGAAGAGTTAACCGTTTTATTAAACACTATTTGTCTGCTTCACAAAACACCCAGCATCACAGATCTTATTAGCTTTTAGTGCTAAATCTAAGAAACAAAGGAACAAACCCAGGCAAACCTACTGAGTGAAAGACATGAATACTACTAATGCAGTGGTGTTCAAAGTTGGTCCTAGAGGGCCAGCATCCTGCATGTTTTAATTCTCTCCCAGGTTTAACAAACCTGGATCAGAAGATGGCTCCTTAAAAGGCCTAAGAAGAACATTGACATGTTTGAAAGGTTGTTAATACCACCATGGAGAAAATGCTAGATGCCAGCCCTCCAAGACTGTACATTTGTACTAAGTAAAAGTAAAAAAAGTACTGACTTTTAAAAAATACTTAAGTATTAAAAGTAAAAGTACTTGCTGAATGTAATACCTAATCGCTAATATAATGTCATTAAATATACCAGTCACATTTAATTTCAATACATCAGCAATACAAATTGAGATTTACATGCAACCAAGGACGTAGTCAAGACCACCTGACCCAAGATCTCAAGACCAAGACCAACGCCCTGCACTACATGACACAATAAAATGTGAAGTATGATCAAAATTGCTTCTCAAATTGATCTGACAGATCCACATTCCTATAAAAACACAATTAAGTACTTAGAGCTGAAATAAGTTTAACGAAGATCATCAATTCAAACTTTTTTATTCCGCTTTGCTTCCATCTCTGTGCTACAAACCGCAGTGGTCTCCTGCCATCCCTAAAAAGCTAACGCCCTGGGGGTTTGCCCCTATTGCCCATGTCAGAAACCACAAGTGCCCTGATGATAAACAATGATCAACTATGAACACTGTCCAAGGCGCAACAATCAAGAAGTAACCAAATAATAATAACTATTCCAAGGTAAGAGCCGTTCAGAAGAATTGGATCGTTCAGGAATATGTAGTCACAGCGTTGTCCCATATATGCGACATGTCAGTCAACACTGCACAACAATTCAGCACAATGATGAGTGACAACTTTTTTTCATGCAACATGTGTCTCTGTACAGCTAGCTTTGCTAACATGACATCCACAGAGTTTACCTTTCTTTAAGCTTCCTTTCCAAAAGTTGGACGAAGTCCCCACCCTCTGCGAAAGCAAAGCGCTGCTGATTTTATATGTCGCCAAATCTTATGATTTATGCAGCGGAATTCTAATACATACCATTAGACAGACATCTTGACCCACTCAGAGGAAACCACTGTGCATATCTTGGATCGCCGCGTGCGAGTGAAAGGAGGAGGAGATGACTAACAACACACACACACAATTAGTAAGTCGAGTTATTGCTTGGATTTAACAATGTCTTGTTAAGTCCCTGAACTTCACATTTCATCGAAAAAAAGCTCAATGCCACTTGGACGTAACAAGTAATGCGACGGTTTTGTAGAAATGTAGTGAAGTAGAAAGTATACATACTTACTGTAAAATGTAGTGGAGTAAAAGTAGAAAGTATCCAAGACAAAATCTACTTAAGTAACCAATGGCAGGGATTGCTTGGAGATTTGTGCATTTATTATACAAAGCAGAACTCGTCTTTACTGTGTGGTGACACATCTGCAATGGGACTCAGACAATCTGAATGCACTCTCCTCGCCTGTGCTGTCCACTTCCCCTTCACACACTCACAACCAGCAGAGGGGAGATGATTCTGACTGGACACCACAAATTGTAGTTTTAACGACAGGAAGATGTGATTTTCTACATAAGGAAAATGAGCGTTGTGCATTGAGCCGCATTCATTATTCAGATCTATGAAAGCCCTTATCAGTTCGATCTTCTCTGTGACATTCTTATATTTGTGTGGTCCCAATATACGCTAAAAAAATCATCTTAAGAAAATTCTTATAACAAAAAAAAAAAAAAACTGATAGCGAACATGTTAAAATTATATGTTAATGAGTGAAATTAGCACATTTCATCTGGGAGTTCAACCTATGTGACTATAAGTGGGGATCTTTTAAGGAGATTGTAGAAATAGAATCAATAATCGGCATCACAAGATCTTTTTAATATTGAGAAATCCTGGTGTTGATAGCGTTGGGAATGGGGGTTGGTGACATAATCAGGCACTCACTTTATACTGTAGAATCACACAACACTACTCCTCACCCTACCAGTCAAATGTCTATGAGAGACCATGTTAGTGAACTGTGTTGGACATGAAGACCTTGGGATGAAGCTTAGATCAGGGGTGTCAGACCTCAAACTCCAGTCCTCGAGGGTCGAAGGACCAGAGTTTGGGATAAGTCAAAGATTCTTGCAACTTTTTGACTTGTCCCAAGTCCAACACACCTGAAATAAAGAACTGAGTTATTTACTCAATGAATGGTGACCTTCAAGGACTGGGGTTTGAGATCTGTGCCATATATACTGTAGGTTGGTTCTGCTAAATTCTCAATCATCATTAATTTTATTAACCAGTTATCAAACATCCAATGGTAATCAAAGACCAACATGTCATATTGATTTCTTCCCATTTTGCTCCTGGTGTCAGACTACAGTGATCTCTGAGATTGGTTAAGCCAGGGATCTCCAACCCCAACACACTTGAATTAAATGAATTTAATTTTTAAGTTTCAGGGCAGTAGTTCTGGAGGACTCCACTTCAACGGTCCATGTCCAGCAACTTATACTGTGGATGTTAAAACTAAATCGCTTGCTTAGCATGCAGTCGAGCTCAGCCACTGAGTTAATCATTTGAGTCAGGTGTGTTGAAGCAGAGACACCACTAAACGTTAGAGGAACCTTGGAGAATTGGGGCTTGAGACCCCTGATGTAAACTCAGCTTATGCTAAAATCCCAAAAAATTTCAGCAGAATCAAAACAGCTTGGAAATTGTTTTTCATATTCCTGTTCAGCAGAGAGAAACTGAATAAATGCTCATCCTTTTATTTGATAACTCTACCATGTTCTGCGTTTCACAAAACTTTGTCCATAATTTTAGCTAAAAACAAGACCTACTGAAGAAGAAGTTATTTATTTCCATTCTCCACCTACATGTCTTTTCTTCTGCTTAATAAATGTTTTGCTGTCTGGGAGCTGTTAAGGGCAAACGAGGTCAAGGTGACATCCGGCTCGGAGTTGCTGTGACGACCATCCGTGGCTCATCAGTCACACCTGTCAGACAGGTGTCAGTGTGTATGCACCCGACTCCATCAGGTGCCTGAGCGCGTAGATGCAGTTGATGAAGGATAGGATGGATGAGGTGGGTTGGGGAAAACTATAATTTAAAGTTTGCTGCTCACCTTCTTTGTTGTTTTTTGTTCTTTCTTGGCAGTGAATCTCCTTGACACGACAACGATAACTGGAGACTGGGGCTGGCTGACGTATCCATCCCATGGGGTAAGGATTAAAAGAAGCGTTTTTTGTGGAATATTATTTTGTTAATGGATTTCATTCAGGGTTTTCCACATTTTTTTAAACAACAAAGTCTACCTTTTTATTAGACAAACCAACAAAACATTTTTGTTGTTCTGTCAAAATTAAGGAAAAGTTTTGCATAATTTTGTGGGTGGAAAATAATGTATTATTTTCAAAGTTTGTTTTTACAAATACAACAAAGAAAACTAAGATGTATATTTGTATTCATCCTCATTTCATAATAAACCTCTAAATAAAACCAAGTGCAACCCACTGCCTGCAGAAGTAAACAAATACAAATAGAGTCCACCATGAAGACTATGGAGCACAGCAGACAGGTCAGGGAGAAAGATGTTGGGTAATTTTATTGCAAGAACTGATATACAATGACTATGAAGCTTATACTAAATTAAATAGAAATTATTTGACCACTGCCCATACAAAGGATTATTCAAATCGTTAGATTTTACGTAGATTAGTGATCATGACCAGCCACTTTGACGGCAAGATCCAGTTTCCATCCTCACTAAAGTACTGAGACTGTTCAATGACATCAACATAAATACAGACTGTGGGAGAACCACAGTGCTGGTTTTGCTGGACCTCAGTTCAGCATTTAAAATAGATGACCCTGACATATTACTGTAGCAACTGAAGAGCTGGATCCTACTTTCTGGCACAGTACTCAGTTGGGTTTAGACTGTCCTACAGAACAGGGACTTGCTTGTGTCAGCAGGTAACATCAAAGCTTACATATCAAATGTGGGGTTCCTCAAGGTTTTGTCTTTGGACTCTTTATTTAATATCTACATTCTACATCTTAAGCTATGCAGATGATACACATCTTTACATTACAATTCCACCAGGTGACTATGAACCTATTCAAGTGTTAACTAGATGCGTAGAACAAATCAACTCTTGGATGTGCCATAACTTTCTTCAGTTGAAATAAATACATTGAAACATGCAATATCCACATCAGCTGTATCTAAGTCTAGTCCTCAAGGACCAGTGTGCCGTGTGTTTTATATGTCGCAATGCTCCAACACAGAGACATCTGTGGCGCAGTCATATCTTCTGCACAGGTTAGAAATAGATCAATAAATCTCATTCACTTGTGTTGGAAGTATAAAATAAAAAGTTACATTTGCAGGACTAGTCATTGACTGATAATGGACACCACTGCCCAAGATTAAGCAAATTATTTAAAGTTATTAAAATTATGCAGCAATTACTAATATTCCCCATAATGATGACATCTGCTAAAGAATAAAATCATTGTCTCCTTTTATAAAGGCAACAAGATTATTTTATTTAGTCTGAGGTGTGTAGCCTGTGTTTTACCAGTTGTACTTACTAAATAAGATTTAGTCTAACATTGACACCACAAACTAATTACATGTAGTACCCAGACAATGACATGCTACACTCATCTACTTCAAACATGAGCCCAGACATCCCTCTCAGCCCCCTCCACGTCTTGGCAGCTTGGTGCATGTCGCGGTGGGGGAGTGAAGAAAAGATGAAGTAAAAGGATGAAAGCGAGAAAACGAGGTGACAGCGAGGGCACGGCGTCGCGGCATTAGCATATTGTAATGCCAAATGATGACGCCTGAGGTGATGAATTAGGACCCTAGCTGCGATCTTTCGTGCACCGCCATGCCACCCCATCCCTGACTCCCTTGGCTGTCAGCAGAGTGGTAGGAACATTTACATCACCTCCAGCCTTCATGACAGAAGGTGGTGTGATTGAATGGTGGCCAGGAGGAACAGATGGGTTGTCTTTCAAGTCCTGGGAGAAGAACTGGAAGAATTGGATTAGTGGTTTGAGCAAAATGACTCACTCTGTGTGAAATCGGTGTGAGAGGTGAATCCCTTCCACCTTGAAAGGACCCATGTGAAAACAGCTAGATTACATAAACTCTAACTGCTGTTGTGTGTTTTTGTTTTGATTGGTTCAATATACCAGAAATAGTTACTTGTTTGTTCATGAGAGACCGCTTTCTCCCTCAGAGCTTCTACACATGAAAAGCTTGACTGAGTGGATTAGGAGTGGGAGCAGAGCTTTGTGGTTTCATGGTTCAGTTACGTAAGGTACGTGTCTTGTGCTGAAAGACAAAAATGTGAGGAAGGAGGAAGCAGCAGCTCTGTGATGTTCAATAATGATGCCAAAGAAAATGTACAGAGGAGAAAATCGGATCTACGTTAGCAATCAAGCAATATTTGGACAGAACTTTCTTGAACAAATTATTTCAAAGTAAGGATTAGTTGAGGTACGTCGGATTACTGTTCAAAATCACCAGCAACACATGAAAATATTTCTTATAGTTAAGTCTGTCTCAAAGATAACTGACATGCTATTGTCTTAATGAGTTAATGATATAATGACTGAAAATAACACATATTTTATAATGACTTTACTTATTACTAAGCCTTGTGTGTGAATGTGAGTGTTTTAAGTTTGAAAAGTATGCTGTGATTTTCTTTCACTTATGTTTTGCAGTCAGAAAAGGCTGCAAACTCACCAGGACAGTCAAAAACTCACAACAACATTGGCACTGGGAATTTCACATTGGGAGTTGTTGTCCTTTAATAGACACTCTTTTCACCAACCTTACAAAGCCCGGTTCAATGGGTGCTACATTTTCAAACAGGAAAATAAGCAGAGTCCTCCTGACATCCCATAACGTTGCTAAAGTTAGGGAGATAAAATATACTTGTTTGTCTCAATCGGTGCATCAATCTTTAGTGTGTTTCTCCCACACGCTCTACAGAGAAACCATGGCGTATACTTGTGACATCACTAGCAATACTAGAGTATCTTAAAGAGACACCACACAATTACACAACTTGCTGGAGGTAAGCCATGAATACACAGGGAGAACATGCACACTTAAGGCAGAAAATACTCTGGCCAAGATTCCAAACCCAGTATCTTCTACAGTGATGCCCACCATGACCTTGGAGGGTATGTGTATAAAATCACACATGCACAAGTCATGCAAAGGACACGTTTTGCATTACTTGCAATATGTATAACTGTTAAAATTTGTTTACTATGGCAACATTTTGCTATTGGCTTCAATACACAAATACTGATCTGTTACAGACAAAATTCAATTTATAAGCAATGTGGGGATACAGTTACTGACTGTTAAAGCCTAATTCAAACTGACTCAACTTCATTGTCTTACAGCAAATTGTCTTACAAAAAAGTTTTTTTTTGTTTTTTTTTAGCATATTTTTAAAGCTATCACTGTTATGATAATATGGTATGAGACAGATAGTCTATGAAAAAAATTGAGCTTCTCTGACTTCTCTCTATGGACTTGCTGACACGTGAACAAACACATTGCTCTGTCACAAACAACCAATCAGAGAGAGGAAGAGGGGCATGGCGCCATCAATCATCCTCTTGTACACATTGTCACCTTAGCCAAGGTTTCCCTGGCTGCATCTTCTTTACATATTTGAAACATTTGGAATCACATAGAAATGCTTCAACATGTGAACCACGAACAGGGGAGGTTCAACTGTACAGTGTGGAGAAATCAGCTATTTTTTCCAGCACTGATCACTCTCGAGCAACAAGGTGCATTAATATTTAATCGTTTTTTTCAGTTATTTTATTATTTTCTTTTGACCAAATCTTGCTAAAATAGTAAAAGTAGTAGTAGTAACAGGATAATTTGGTTATCTGCAAGGTCCAACCATCAATTCTGAAAGAACAGCTTCAGTGAGAACAATCCGCAGTGATCTGGTCTTTGGAAATACCTACTAAATGTGCTGGTACATTCTGAAAAAGTTAACCAGAGTTTTTATGCACATCCATCTTGTACAAATCATCAAATTCACTCACCAGAATAATGCAGTGAAAATCAACATAAACATAAGAGTAGTTTAGAAATTGCGTTAAAAAAAAAACATTTGCTCTGTTTGTTGGAAGTCTGTGGATACAATAACTCCTTTGGCAATATGGCGGCATGTTCAAATAGGGTCAAATTTGTAATGGCTCTTCTGCTGCCTACAAAATAGCAGCAGAAAGACAACCAGCATAGGAAATATGTTTAAGGAGTTTATTAAAAATAGCGATATGCTGGGAGGTAAGGGTCATCAGGAGAGCAGTCAGAAGCGACTGCAAAGGATGGTGATGGTGCTCTGACCCAGAGTGTGAGGACATTAAATGGCTAGAACAACACAGTGACAATTTTTGGGAAAAGCCCACTTGCCTGGCGTTGTCACAGTGAGCGAGATGAAATCCAACATGGGGAAATCTTTGGTGAGCCAGGTTCACTGTTCTGAAAATGTATGAATTTGACTCTTTGATGAATCCAATCCAGAAAAGACAGAGTCATCCGCAATGAGGAAGGCAGTCGGCAGGATAATCAAAAGGAGAGTGGGAGGAAAGCGAGAGTTAGAGACCAGGATCTGAATCAAGAGCCATGAAGCAAGATGAGAAAACCCATTGGAATAAAAGTTCATAAAGGGAATCTTGAAACCAGGCATGAAAGGAACACAAGACTTTCGATAATGTAGAGGAGAATGACTGGCAAGGAGAAGCTGATATTGATGACGGAGCAGGTGCAACACGTGGAGTTAATGAGGTGGCTCAGGTGAGTGGGACATACTAGATTGCATGGAGATTGTGGAATGGGAGGGAAACGGGCTACCAGAGGAGATGAATGACTTTTAATATCTGATGCTGGGTGACAGATAGGATCCTGACCAAACTCCCATTTCATTAAACAAAATGACAAAATGCCTCCTTTTCTTCCACTCCAGTTTGATTCATCAAACTGAAACTATCAGAAGCAGACTCCCTTCACATTGCCACACCACCCAAACATCATGCTGCCAGTACCATGCTTTGCTGTGGGTATGGTGTGGTGATGTACACAGGTGTTTTTGTGCCAAAGACATGGAGTTACAGTTGAATCTTTGTTACATCATAGCGAAAGAGATTTATGCTCAAGCTTACATAA